ATACGAGCTGACTTCTCAAATTCTCATGTTGCTGGTGTTGCAGATTCTGTTCAGCATAATTATAAGACAGAATTATTAAAACAAAAACAACAACAAAACAAAGTAGGCAAGAAGGTACCTTTGAGACTATATGGTTCACAGGGGTATAAGCTTTTATAGGCAATAACCTCCTTCATAAGCTGTCAGGAATGATCCATTTTTTAGTGGCATGTTCCGTTTGTTTAGTACAGTTTACAAAACTGTACTAAACAGAAAAAAGTCTATTGACATTTATTTACAAATAACTGTTTATTTAGAAAGTTAAATGTTACTTAGTGATTTATATGAAAACTGGATTCCTCTTATATGCAAAAAAGAAAGATTTTCCAATTCTTAGGTTTCTTATTGTCTTATTTTTGGGGCAGCTGTTTTTAATTAAGTTGCTTAGTAAGGGATAGGGCTCCTATTTTCATTGTAACGGATGACCTGTCTCTCTTCCATAGAGAAAGTAACCTTGATGGAGTACTCTATGATGCAAAAAGAAAAAAATGATGTCAGAATTTCTCTTCTCCCAGAGACAAGAAAAACATGTGAAAAAGCTCAGGAAAACATAAGTACCTGATCTGCTGTAAGTAGAGGCTCCTCATTAATACCAGAATCATTTTCACTCTTCTCATTGAGCTCCTCCTCCTCCTTCTCATGGATCTGAAGAAAAAAACCCAAACCAAATTCTGATTGGTCAGTAGCAGTTATGTTCGCAGTTGAGGGTTCTACCTAGCACTGATGTTACTGCATGAAACATCCAAGTTCTTTCCGATTAAGAAGTATCTACAAGTGATCTTCACTGCTTCTTCCAAACCCAAATATACTTGAATTCTAAGGTGTAAAGGAAGATCATTATTTATCATGCTTTCATATGACACAGGTTTTTGGTTTTTTTCCCCTGGAAATGTGGGAGAAACAGCTAGTAAAGTAAGAAGGAAAAACAAAATAAGCCAACAGAAAGAAAAAGTCTATGGTGTGTTTGTGTGATGCATAGTCAATAGTATCAATTGTTGTCTTGTATGTCTATCATCTTCTTTTCATATCAAAGCTTTCTAAATCTCATTATATTTCAAAAATGCTATTTTTACACTATTTTGAAGAAATTAATAGCAAAGCATACATATTCTTTCCAGTTCACAAACAGAAAAATCACTGATATCTGTAGCATGTACAGACAAATTAAAGGTATTTATATTTATAAGATCAACCTTGGAACACTTGCTCTGTCCAGCAAAGCAATTAAGCAATGTTCTCAAAGTAAAACATATGAAAAGTGCCTCTGAAGTCCAGCCAGCAGCAGACTGATTTCTGCTTGCTAGATGAGGATGGAACCAGAGGCAGGATATTTGGCTTATTTATACACCGATGAAAGGCTTTCAACATTCTTGTCTTTGAATAGAACAATATTTTATTGTGGTGTTGTTGCTCTAATAGCACTAGGGATCCCAAACAGGATTTATGGAGTGTTGTAGTTATACAGACACAGATGACAGTCCCTTTTTTGAAGAGCTTCTAGTCTAAGAAATCAAGATTCCCCCAAAACAGAAGTTAGCTACAGAGTATTTTTGTGTTTAAATTTCTAATGAGAAACTGGCTGTTTTAGTGATTATATATATATATATATATATATATAATGATAAAACATGCATTTCCATATATATTAAAGCCAAAGTAAATAGCATGGATTATAGTTAAGGTGGTTTCACCCTTTCCAGCATTTTTAGTTGCTAATAAATTTGTGAGACATCAACAGTTCGGATAAATTATCCATGCTAGTTGTCTGACTTAGGTTATTCATTTTAAAAGTTCCAAATAAATGGTTTAAAATGGGATGTTCTTAGAATGGGATTGGGAGGAAGTATTGCCTATATATAGTATACATCGCATCAATGTATACATTCTTAAAGGCACCTCATTTAGCTCAACCACTTGAGTGCTTTGAAGGAGATATTTACAAGATGGATATGCACTTGAGAACAACCCCCTTCAGAACCTAAAATGGATCCCAGGACACTCCTCTTCCTGACGCCAACAGCAAGCTATTGCTATTTGTGACTACAGTACTTTAAGAAATAGAGGTCTGATTTCCCATGCAGAAGTAAATCTGGTTCCATTTGATTAATTATCCAGGGGAGCTTGTACACATTAAATTAAATAGGTTTATTAAAATGTAAAAAGTTGAAGTCATTGCATCAATGCTTGTATGTAACAGTCTTTACTATGAATTAAGCTCGGTGTGCAATTGCTAGTCCATTCCAGCAGGAGGAGCTGCATACCAACCACCCTGTTGCTGTCGATGGTACTGAATTACATCAGCAGGCACATTTAAACCACTAATCCCCTCACTCCTGAAAAGCATCCCCGCCCCAGCCAGGGATCCCCATGCTAAGCTGTGGCTATCACCTCCCTGACCAACCTGCAAACTGCACAGACTCTTGCACCAATATGCCTATGAAAGAAAACACGCCACGTCCAGAAGGAACTGTATGGATTTTAAATCTTTATTTCAACTTTAAAATAATGTTCCAATTGCATGATTTCTTGTCCTAAAAAACAACCCAAGTCATTATATCTATATCTGTATGTATGTATACACACACACACACACACACACACACACTTACACACACAAGATGAGGAGAAAATGTATTAAAATATAATAATACATTGACATTATCAAAAGTAAAAAAAATGTAATATAGATTTTCATTTCCCCCCTTATAAATCATTAAATAAAATTTAAAAATAAGTGCAGTGAAATTAAATATTTAAGAAAGTAATTAAATAACTAACAAGCTATTTATACAATAAATACTAAATATTATTTATACACTACTATTTATATACTATTTACATTTGTTATCTACCTCCATATCTACTTACATATCTATTTATACTTCTATTCTATTCTTTCTCTACTTTTATATTCCAATCTCTGCATGTCTACATATATTCCTATGTCTACTGTATCTTATCTCTACATATCTATTTCTATTCTACTTGCTTATTCATTCTTCTTATTCATTCATATCTCTGCTCTTCTATTTCTTCTAATTTTCTTATTCATTCATTCATTCAGTATTCTTCTCTTCGATTTCTGATCTTATAAGTTGTCTGCATGGGAAGAAAGAAGAAGAGAATGGGTTTTGGCACACAGTCCCAAAACCACCTTCTTTACCTTCTCCCTACAGGCTACAAAGTCGGTGGGATATTTCTGACATTACCTATATATGACCCAGGATGCTGCATATCCCAGGGGTGGGGCTGGCATGCAGTGTCAGCTTGCACTATTCATCCTGTTTCTGGAATGCAATTATAAGAAATAGAAAAGTTACCCCAAAATATTAAAGTACTAAGAAGAGGTGCCACACCCCCTCAGTTGCAAACCTACCATTTGCTGCTGCTGTGCTCCTCATTCTCCACCATGGTGCTGAGTGTGGGGGGAGGACGGCAGGGGGAGGAAACAAACATACTTGGTGGTGAACCACTGCCATGGGGTAGCAGAGGACAGTATGCATGGGGGGTGGGGAATTAGTGGCTTTCTGCTCCATTTCCTTTTTTCTGTTTAAGGACTACCTTTCCCAGCAGCCCCCAACATCATGTCCTGGGCTAGTATCCATGGAGACCTCTGCAGCAGTTGCGCTGTGATGCTATGGATACTGGCCCAGATGCACATGGCTCTACATGCAGCTCTGTGCAATTTTGGGGTAGCTATAGCCCTTGGCCATACTGCCAGATTGGCAGGGTGCAGCAGCATGGTGCGCAGAGGCATGGCGCAGAGCTAGCTACATCATAGCACATCCAGAAATAAATTGAAACCTTCATTTGCTTCCTGAAACTATTATTGGCATACAGCATTACAATTTTAAAATTTAAAATAGTATTTGTTTATTAAAATATGTATTATAATTCATTATTATGTATTATTTATTTATTCAAATTTAAAATATTATTGGCATATAGCATTATATACTTGGATACAGCATTAAAAGTGTTATCAACTAATAATATTGTTCAAAAAAAGAAGTAAAAACATGTTATAAAAATTGAAAGCAGCCTTTTCTGATTTTTCTGCAGTATATATAAAATAACTAAATAGGTAACTAGGTAAGTACTTACATACCTGTACAGATAAATAAATATAAGTAGACAACCTGCAAAAACAACATAAACAAGCTTTCTTTACTTTATTCTATATTTCTGCCATATTCCTACTGTGATATTATCTATTTTATCATTACTCTCTATTCTATATTCTAATACTCAATTTTATTCCATTCTATGTCTATTCTATTTCTATGTATGTCTATGTCTATGCACTTATTAGCTATCATTTTACTTTTGAACTGTCTCTATTGCAGTCTGCATAACTGTCCTCTCACCAATCCCCCCACCAAAAAGCGGCAGACTCCTGCAGGCTCATACCAACCCCTGCTCCCCACCCTCTGCCCATGATAATGAGTGGTTTCATAGTTTCAGAGTTGGTAGGGACGGAAGGGACCTGAGGAGATCATCTACTCCGACCCCCTGCCATGGCAGGAAAGAGTACTGGGGTCAAACGACCCCGGCCAGATGTTTGTCCAGCTTCCTTGTAAAGACCTCCAGGGTAGGAGCCAGCACCACTTCTTTTGGAAGTTGGTTCCAGGTCCTAACCACCCTGACAGTGAAATAGGCCTTCCTAATGTCTAGCCTGAAACTACCTTCCGCTAGCTTGTGTCCATTGTTCCTTGCAACTCCTGGGATTGCTTGGGGGAACAGGGACTCTCCCAATGCCTGCTGGTCCCCCTTGACTAGTTTTAAACTGCCACTAGATCCCCTCTCAGCCTTCTCTTTTGGAGGCTGAACAGGTTCAGGTCCCTCAGCCTCTCCTCATAGGGCCTGCCCTGCTGACCCCTGATTATGTGGGTGGCCCTCCTTTGGACCCTCTCCAGATTGGCCACATCCCTCCTGAAGTGTGGCGCCCAGAACTGGACGCAGTACTCCAGCTGTGGCCTCACCAGTGTTGCGTAGAGGGGGAGAATCACCTCCTTGGACCTGCCTGAGATGCATCTGTGGATGCATGACAATGTATGGTTGGCCTTCCTGATCGCGTCCCCACACTGTCAGCCCATGTTCATTGTGGCATCAATGATGACTCCAAGATCCTCTTCTGTCTCAACACTGGCGAGAAGGGAGTTCCCCAGCCTGTAGGTGTGCTGCTGGTTCTTCCTCCCTAGGTGCATTACCCTGCACTTGTCAGTGTTGAACCCCATCCTGTTCTCTTCAGCCCACCCCTATAACCTGTCTAGATCTGCTTGCAGCCTGTTCCTTCCTACTAGGGTACCCACTTCACCCCACATCTTAGTGTCATCTGCGAACTTGAGCAGGGTGCTTTTTACCCCCTCGCCCAAGTCACTGATGAAGATGTTGAATAGTGCGGGCCCGAGGACCGAGCCCTGGGGAACCCCACTGCCCACACCCCTCCAGGTTGAATAAGACCCATCCACCACCACCCTCTGGGTGCAGCCCTCCAGCCAGTTAGTGACCCATCTGACCGTGTAGGCATCAACACCACTGTCTCCTAGTTTCTTACTTAGAATGGGGTGAGAGACCGTGTCGAAGGCCTTCCTGAAGTCCAGAAAGACTATATCCACTGCGACACCTTCATCCAAGGACTTGGT